ATACCACAACGATGTCTACGACGGAACCCACCACCTCATACCCTGCCACAACGACTCGTAAGAAAACTTCATTTACACCACCTCTCCCTCTCTCTCTCTTTTTTTCTCTCTAGTGCTCTTTCTCTTTCTCTCTCATCTCTTTCTTTCTTTCTTTCTCGCTCTCTCTCTCTCTCTCTCTCTCTCTATTTCATTTTTACGTTCATGTTTATAGACTATGTTATAATGTGAAGCAACATCTTGTTCTCGGCAGCCGCCTTGGCGTCAAAAGCAAGGAATTAAATATCATGTGATGATTCGTGCTGTAAGATTTGTTAAATTTGGGTAAATATGAATTTAAATTTATTTTGCCCCAGGACATATCATCAGGTGTATATCATATTTATTCCTCAGAATCAACTACTACACAAGATACAACAACGATGTCTACGACGGAACCCACCAACTCATACCCTGCCACAACGACTCTTAAGAAAACTTCATTTACACCACCTCTCCCTCTCTCTCTCTCTCTCTCTCTTCTCTCTCTTGCTCTTTCTCTTTCTCTTTCATCTCTCTCTTTCTTTCTTTCTCGCTCTCTCTCTCTCTCTCCCTCTCTATTTTACTTTTACTTTCATGTTTATAGAATATGTTGCAACGTAAAGCAACATCTTGTTCTCGGCAGCCGCCCTAGCGTCAAAAGCTAGAATTTAGATATCATTTGGTGATTTGTCTAGTAAGATTTGTTAAATTTGGGTAAATATGAATTTAATTTTTTTTTGCCCCAGGACATATCATCAGGTGTATATCATATTTATTCCTCAGAATCAACTACTACGCAAGACCCCACAAAGATATCTACTACGGAACCCACCACCTCACTTCCTTCCAAAACAACTCGTAAGAAAACTTCATTTACACCAATTCTCCCACTCTCTCTCTTTCTCTCTTTCATCTCTCTCTCTCTTTCTCTTTCTCTGTTTCTTTTTTTCTCTTCATGTGTCTATTTTCCTCTCTCTCTCTCTCTCTCTCTCTCTCTCTCTCTATTTCATTGTTACTTTCATGTTTGTAGAATATGTTACACTGTGAAGCAACATCTTGTTTTCGGCAGCCGCCTTGGCGTCAAAAGCAAGGAATTAAATATCATGTGATGATATGTCCAGTAAGATTTGTTAAATTTGGGTAAATATGAATTTAAATTTATTTTGCCCCAGGACATATCATCAGGTTTATATATCATATTTATTTCTCAGAATCAACTACTACACAAGATACCACAACGATGTCTACGACGGAACCCACCACCTCATACCCTGCCACAACGACTCGTAAGAAAACTTCATTTACACCACCTCTCCCTCTCTCTCTCTTTTTTTCTCTCTCATGCTCTTTCTCTTTCTCTCTCATCTCTCTCTTTCTTTCTTTCTCGCTCCCACTCTCTCTCTTTCTCTCTTTCATCTCTCTCTCTCTTTCTCTTTCTCTGTTTCTTTTTTTCTCTTCATGTGTCTATTTTCCTCTCTCTCTCTCTCTCTCTCTCTCTCTCTCTATTTCATTGTTACTTTCAAGTTTGTAGAATATGTTATAATGTGAAGCAACATTTTGTTCTCGGCAGCCGCCTTGGCGTCAAAAGCAAGGAATTAAATATCATGTGATGATATGTCCAGTAAGATTTGTTAAATTTGGGTAAATATGAATTTAAATTTATTTTGCCCCAGGACATATCATCAGGTGTATATCATATTTATTCCTCAGAATCAACTACTACACAAGATACAACAACGATGTCTACGACGGAACCCACCACCTCATACCCTGCCACAACGACTCGTAAGAAAACTTCATTTACACCAATTCTCCCACTCTCTCTCTTTCTCTCTTTCATCTCTCTCTCTCTTTCTCTTTCTCTGTTTTTTTCTTTCTCTTAAAGTGTCTATTTTCCTCTCTCTCTCTCTCTCTCTCTCTCTATTTCACTTTTAATTTCATGTTTATAGAATATGTTACAATGTGAAGCAACATCTTGTTCTCGGCAGCCGCCTTGGCGTCAAAAGCAAGGAATTAAATATCATGTGATGATATGTCCAGTAAGATTTGTTAAATTTGGGTAAATATGAATTTAAATTTATTTTGCCCAGGACATACCACAACGATGTCTACGACGGAACCCACCACCTCATACCCTGCCACAACGACTCGTAAGAAAACTTCATTTACACCACCTCTCCCTCTCTCTCTCTTTTTTTCTCTCTCATGCTCTTTCTCTTTCTCTCTCATCTCTTTCTTTCTTTCTTTCTCGCTCTCTCTCTCTCTCTCTCTCTCTATTTCAATTTTACTTTCATGTTTATAGACTATGTTATAATGTGAAGCAACATCTTGTTCTCGGCAGCCGCCTTGGCGTCAAAAGCAATGAATTAAATATCATGTGATGATTCGTGCTGTAAGATTTGTTAAATTTGGGTAAATATGAATTTAAATTTATTTTGCCCCAGGACATATCATCAGGTGTATATCATATTTATTCCTCAGAATCAACTACTACACAAGATACAACAACGATGTCTACGACGGAACCCACCAACTCATACCCTGCCACAACGACTCGTAAGAAAACTTCATTTACACCACCTCTCCCTCTCTCTCTCTCTCTCTCTCTTTTTCTCTCTCTTGCTCTTTCTCTTTCTCTTTCATCTCTCTCTTTCTTTCTTTCTCGCTCTCTCTCTCTCTCTCTCCCTCTCTATTTTACTTTTACTTTCATGTTTATAGAATATGTTGCAACGTAAAGCAACATCTTGTTCTCGGCAGCCGCCCTAGCGTCAAAAGCTAGAATTTAGATATCATTTGGTGATTTGTCTAGTAAGATTTGTTAAATTTGGGTAAATATGAATTTAAATTTATTTTGCCCCAGGACATATCATCAGGTGTATATCATATTTATTCCTCAGAATCAACTACTACGCAAGACCCCACGAAGATATCTACTACGGAACCCACCACCTCACATCCTTCCAAAACAACTCGTAAGAAAACTTCATTTACACCAATTCTCCCACTCTCTCTCTTTCTCTCTTTCATCTCTCTCTCTCTTTCTCTTTCTCTGTTTCTTTTTTTCTCTTCATGTGTCTATTTTCCTCTCTCTCTCTTTCTCTCTCTCTCTCTCTCTCTCTATTTCATTGTTACTTTCATGTTTGTAGAATATGTTACACTGTGAAGCAACATCTTGTTTTCGGCAGCCGCCTTGGCGTCAAAAGCAAGGAATTAAATATCATGTGATGATATGTACAGTAAGATTTGTTAAATTTGGGTAAATATGAATTTAAATTTATTTTGCCCCAGGACATATCATCAGGTTTATATATCATATTTATTTCTCAGAATCAACTACTACACAAGATACCACAACGATGTCTACGACGGAACCCACCACCTCATACCCTGCCACAACGACTCGTAAGAAAACTTCATTTACACCACCTCTCCCTCTCTCTCTCTTTTTTTCTCTCTCATGCTCTTTCTCTTTCTCTCTCATCTCTCTCTTTCTTTCTTTCTCGCTCTCTCTCTCTCTCTCTCTCTCTATTTCATTTTTACTTTCATGTTTATAGACTATGTTATAATGTGAAGCAACATTTTGTTCTCGGCAGCCGCCTTGGCGTCAAAAGCAAGGAATTAAATATCATGTGATGATATGTCCAGTAAGATTTGTTAAATTTGGGTAAATATGAATTTAAATTTATTTTGCCCCAGGACATATCATCAGGTGTATATCATATTTATTCCTCAGAATCAACTACTACACAAGCTACAACAACGATGTCTACGACGGAACCCACCACCTCATACCCTGCCACAACGACTCGTAAGAAAACTTCATTTACACCACCTCTCCCTCTCTCTCTCTCTCTGTTTCTCTCTCTTGCTCTTGCTCTTACTCTTTCTCTTTCATCTCTCTCTTTCTTTCTTTCTCGCTCTCTCTCTCTCTCTCTCTCTCTCTCCCTCTCTATTTTACTTTTACTTTCATGTTCATAGAATATGTTGCAACGTAAAGCAACATCTTGTTCTCGGCAGCCGCCCTAGCGTCAAAAGCTAGAATTTAGATATCATTTGGTGATTTGTCTAGTAAGATTTGTTAAATTTGGGTAAATATGAATTTAAATTTATTTTGCCCCAGGACATATCATCAGGTGTATATCATATTTATTCCTCAGAATCAACTACTACGCAAGACCCCACGAAGATATCTACTACGGAACCCACCACCTCACTTCCTTCCAAAACAACTCGTAAGAAAACTTCGTTTACACCAATTCTCCCACTCTCTCTCTTTCTCTCTTTCATCTCTCTCTCTCTTTCTCTTTCTCTGTTTCTTTTTTTCTCTTCATGTGTCTATTTTCCTCTCTCTCTCTCTCTCTCTCTCTCTCTCTCTATTTCATTGTTACTTTCATGTTTGTAGAATATGTTACACTGTGAAGCAACATCTTGTTTTCGGCAGCCGCCTTGGCGTCAAAAGCAAGGAATTAAATATCATGTGATGATATGTACAGTAAGATTTGTTAAATTTGGGTAAATATGAATTTAAATTTATTTTGCCCCAGGACATATCATCAGGTTTATATATCATATTTATTCCTCAGAATCAACTACTACACAAGATACAACAACGATGTCTACGACGGAACCCACCACCTCATACCCTGCCACAACGACTCGTAAGAAAACTTCATTTACACCACCTCTCCCTCTCTCTCTCTCTCTGTTTCTCTCTCTTGCTCTTTCTCTTTCTCTTTCATCTCTCTCTTTCTTTCTTTCTCGCTCTCTCTCTCTCTCTCTCTCTCTCCTCTCTCTATTTTACTTTTACTTTCATGTTTATAGAATATGTTGCAACGTAAAGCAACATCTTGTTCTCGGCAGCCGCCCTAACGTCAAAAGCTAGAATTTAGATATCATTTGGTGATTTGTCTAGTAAGATTTGTTAAATTTGGGTAAATATGAATTTAAATTTATTTTGCCCCAGGACATATCATCAGGTGTATATCATATTTATTCCTCAGAATCAACTACTACGCAAGACCCCACGAAGATATCTACTACGGAACCCACCACCTCACATCCTTCCAAAACAACTCGTAAGAAAACTTCATTTACACCAATTCTCCCACTCTCTCTCTTTCTCTCTTTCATCTCTCTCTCTCTTTCTCTTTCTCTGTTTTTTTCTTTCTCTTTATGTGTCTATTTTCCTCTCTCTCTCTCTCTCTCTCTCTCTCTATTTCACTTTTAATTTCATGTTTATAGAATATGTTACAATGTGAAGCAACATCTTGTTCTCGGCAGCCGCCTTAGCGTCAAAAGCAAGGAATTAAATATCATGTGATGATATGTCCAGTAAGATTTGTTAAATTTGGGTAAATATGAATTTAAATTTATTTTGCCCAGGACATACCACAACGATGTCTACGACGGAACCCACCACCTCATACCCTGCCACAACGACTCGTAAGAAAACTTCATTTACACCACCTCTCCCTCTCTCTCTCTTTTTTTCTCTCTCATGCTCTTTCTCTTTCTCTCTCATCTCTTTCTTTCTTTCTTTCTCGCTCTCTCTCTCTCTCTCTCTCTATTTCAATTTTACTTTCATGTTTATAGACTATGTTATAATGTGAAGCAACATCTTGTTCTCGGCAGCCGCCTTGGCGTCAAAAGCAATGAATTAAATATCATGTGATGATTCGTGCTGTAAGATTTGTTAAATTTGGGTAAATATGAATTTAAATTTATTTTGCCCCAGGACATATCATCAGGTGTATATCATATTTATTCCTCAGAATCAACTACTACACAAGATACAACAACGATGTCTACGACGGAACCCACCAACTCATACCCTGCCACAACGACTCGTAAGAAAACTTCATTTACACCACCTCTCCCTCTCTCTCTCTCTCTCTCTTTTTCTCTCTCTTGCTCTTTCTCTTTCTCTTTCATCTCTCTCTTTCTTTCTTTCTCGCTCTCTCTCTCTCGCTCCCTCTCTATTTTACTTTTACTTTCATGTTTATAGAATATGTTGCAACGTAAAGCAACATCTTGTTCTCGGCAGCCGCCCTAGCGTCAAAAGCTAGAATTTAGATATCATTTGGTGATTTGTCTAGTAAGATTTGTTAAATTTGGGTAAATATGAATTTAAATTTATTTTGCCGCAGGACATATCATCAGGTGTATATCATATTTATTCCTCAGAATCAACTACTACGCAAGACCCCACGAAGATATCTACTACGGAACCCACCACCTCACTTCCTTCCAAAACAACTCGTAAGAAAACTTCGTTTACACCAATTCTCCCACTCTCTCTCTTTCTCTCTTTCATCTCTCTCTCTCTTTCTCTTTCTCTGTTTCTTTTTTTCTCTTCATGTGTCTATTTTCCTCTCTCTCTCTCTCTCTCTCTCTCTATTTCATTGTTACTTTCATGTTTGTAGAATATGTTACACTGTGAAGCAACATCTTGTTTTCGGCAGCCGCCTTGGCGTCAAAAGCAAGGAATTAAATATCATGTGATGATATGTACAGTAAGATTTGTTAAATTTGGGTAAATATGAATTTAAATTTATTTTGCCCCAGGACATATCATCAGGTTTATATATCATATTTATTCCTCAGAATCAACTACTACACAAGATACAACAACGATGTCTACGACGGAACCCACCACCTCATACCCTGCCACAACGACTCGTAAGAAAACTTCATTTACACCACCTCTCCCTCTCTCTCTCTCTCTGTTTCTCTCTCTTGCTCTTTCTCTTTCTCTTTCATCTCTCTCTTTCTTTCTTTCTCGCTCTCTCTCTCTCTCTCTCTCTCCCTCTCTATTTTACTTTTACTTTCATGTTTATAGAATATGTTGCAACGTAAAGCAACATCTTGTTCTCGGCAGCCGCCCTAACGTCAAAAGCTAGAATTTAGATATCATTTGGTGATTTGTCTAGTAAGATTTGTTAAATTTCGGTAAATATGAATTTAAATTTATTTTGCCCCAGGACATATCATCAGGTGTATATCATATTTATTCCTCAGAATCAACTACTACGCAAGACCCCACGAAGATATCTACTACGGAACCCACCACCTCACATCCTTCCAAAACAACTCGTAAGAAAACTTCATTTACACCAATTCTCCCACTCTCTCTCTTTCTCTCTTTCATCTCTCTCTCTCTTTCTCTTTCTCTGTTTTTTTCTTTCTGTTTATGTGTCTATTTTCCTCTCTCTCTCTCTCTCTCTCTCTCTCTCTCTATTTCACTTTTAATTTCATGTTTATAGAATATGTTACAATGTGAAGCAACATCTTGTTCTCGGCAGCCGCCTTGGCGTCAAAAGCAAGGAATTAAATATCATGTGATGATATGTCCAGTAAGATTTGTTAAATTTGGGTAAATATGAATTTAAATTTATTTTGCCCAGGACATACCACAACGATGTCTACGACGGAACCCACCACCTCATACCCTGCCACAACGACTCGTAAGAAAACTTCATTTACACCACCTCTCCCTCTCTCTCTCTTTTTTTCTCTCTCATGCTCTTTCTCTTTCTCTCTCATCTCTTTCTTTCTTTCTTTCTCGCTCTCTCTCTCTCTCTCTCTCTCTCTCTATTTCAATTTTACTTTCATGTTTATAGACTATGTTATAATGTGAAGCAACATCTTGTTCTCGGCAGCCGCCTTGGCGTCAAAAGCAATGAATTAAATATCATGTGATGATTCGTGCTGTAAGATTTGTTAAATTTGGGTAAATATGAATTTAAATTTATTTTGCCCCAGGACATATCATCAGGTGTATATCATATTTATTCCTCAGAATCAACTACTACACAAGATACAACAACGATGTCTACGACGGAACCCACCAACTCATACCCTGCCACAACGACTCGTAAGAAAACTTCATTTACACCACCTCTCCCTCTCTCTCTCTCTCTCTCTCTTTTTCTCTCTCTTGCTCTTTCTCTTTCTCTTTCATCTCTCTCTTTCTTTCTTTCTCGCTCTCTCTCTCTCGCTCCCTCTCTATTTTACTTTTACTTTCATGTTTATAGAATATGTTGCAACGTAAAGCAACATCTTGTTCTCGGCAGCCGCCCTAGCGTCAAAAGCTAGAATTTAGATATCATTTGGTGATTTGTCTAGTAAGATTTGTTAAATTTGGGTAAGAATGAATTTTTTTTTTTTTTGCCCCAGGACATATCATCAGGTGTATATCATATTTATTCCTCAGAATCAACTACTACGCAAGACCCCACAAAGATATCTACTACGGAACCCACCACCTCACTTCCTTCCAAAACAACTCGTAAGAAAACCTCATTTACACCAATTCTCCCACTCTCTCTCTTTCTCTCTTTCATCTCTCTCTCTCTTTCTCTTTCTCTGTTTTTTTCTTTCTCTTTATGTGTCTATTTTCCTCTCTCTCTCTCTCTCTCTCTCTCTATTTCACTTTTAATTTCATGTTTATAGAATATGTTACAATGTGAAGCAACATCTTGTTCTCGGCAGCCGCCTTGGCGTCAAAAGCAAGGAATTAAATATCATGTGATGATATGTCCAGTAAGATTTGTTAAATTTGGGTAAATATGAATTTAAATTTATTTTGCCCAGGACATACCACAACGATGTCTACGACGGAACCCACCACCTCATACCCTGCCACAACGACTCGTAAGAAAACTTCATTTACACCACCTCTCCCTCTCTCTCTCTTTTTTTCTCTCTCATGCTCTTTCTCTTTCTCTCTCATCTCTTTCTTTCTTTCTTTCTCGCTCTCTCTCTATTTCATTTTTACTTTCATGTTTATAGACTATGTTATAATGTGAAGCAACATCTTGTTCTCGGCAGCCGCCTTGGCGTCAAAAGCAAGGAATTAAATATCATGTGATGATTCGTGCTGTAAGATTTGTTAAATTTGGGTAAATATGAATTTAAATTTATTTTGCCCCAGGACATATCATCAGGTTTATATATCATATTTATTCCTCAGAATCAACTACTACACAAGATACAACAACGATGTCTACGACGGAACCCACCACCTCATACCCTGCCACAACGACTCGTAAGAAAACTTCATTTACACCACCTCTCCCTCTCTCTCTCTCTCTGTTTCTCTCTCTTGCTCTTTCTCTTTCTCTTTCATCTCTCTCTTTCTTTCTTTCTCGCTCTCTCTCTCTCTCTCTCTCTCCCTCTCTATTTTACTTTTACTTTCATGTTTATAGAATATGTTGCAACGTAAAGCAACATCTTGTTCTCGGCAGCCGCCCTAACGTCAAAAGCTAGAATTTAGATATCATTTGGTGATTTGTCTAGTAAGATTTGTTAAATTTGGGTAAATATGAATTTAAATTTATTTTGCCCCAGGACATATCATCAGGTGTATATCATATTTATTCCCCAGAATCAACTACTACGCAAGACCCCACGAAGATATCTACTACGGAACCCACCACCTCACATCCTTCCAAAACAACTCGTAAGAAAACTTCATTTACACCAATTCTCCCACTCTCTCTCTTTCTCTCTTTCATCTCTCTCTCTCTCTTTCTCTTTCTCTGTTTTTTTCTTTCTGTTTATGTGTCTATTTTCCTCTCTCTCTCTCTCTCTCTCTCTCTCTATTTCACTTTTAATTTCATGTTTATAGAATATGTTACACTGTGAAGCAACATCTTGTTTTCGGCAGCCGCCTTGGCGTCAAAAGCAAGGAATTAAATATCATGTGATGATATGTCCAGTAAGATTTGTTAAATTTGGGTAAATATGAATTTAAATTTATTTTGCCCCAGGACATATCATCAGGTTTATATATCATATTTATTTCTCAGAATCAACTACTACACAAGATACCACAACGATGTCTACGACGGAACCCACCACCTCATACCCTGCCACAACGACTCGTAAGAAAACTTCATTTACACCACCTCTCCCTCTCTCTCTCTTTTTTTCTCTCTCATGCTCTTTCTCTTTCTCTCTCATCTCTCTCTTTCTTTCTTTCTCGCTCCCACTCTCTCTCTTTCTCTCTTTCATCTCTCTCTCTCTTTCTCTTTCTCTGTTTCTTTTTTTCTCTTCATGTGTCTATTTTCCTCTCTCTCTCTCTCTCTCTCTCTCTCTCTCTATTTCATTGTTACTTTCAAGTTTGTAGAATATGTTATAATGTGAAGCAACATTTTGTTCTCGGCAGCCGCCTTGGCGTCAAAAGCAAGGAATTAAATATCATGTGATGATATGTCCAGTAAGATTTGTTAAATTTGGGTAAATATGAATTTAAATTTATTTTGCCCCAGGACATATCATCAGGTGTATATCATATTTATTCCTCAGAATCAACTACTACACAAGATACAACAACGATGTCTACGACGGAACCCACCACCTCATACCCTGCCACAACGACTCGTAAGAAAACTTCATTTACACCAATTCTCCCACTCTCTCTCTTTCTCTCTTTCATCTCTCTCTCTCTCTTTCTCTTTCTCTGTTTTTTTCTTTCTCTTAAAGTGTCTATTTTCCTCTCTCTCTCTCTCTCTCTCTCTCTATTTCACTTTTAATTTCATGTTTATAGAATATGTTACAATGTGAAGCAACATCTTGTTCTCGGCAGCCGCCTTGGCGTCAAAAGCAAGGAATTAAATATCATGTGATGATATGTCCAGTAAGATTTGTTAAATTTGGGTAAATATGAATTTAAATTTATTTTGCCCAGGACATACCACAACGATGTCTACGACGGAACCCACCACCTCATACCCTGCCACAACGACTCGTAAGAAAACTTCATTTACACCACCTCTCCCTCTCTCTCTCTTTTTTTCTCTCTCATGCTCTTTCTCTTTCTCTCTCATCTCTTTCTTTCTTTCTTTCTCGCTCTCTCTCTCTCTCTCTCTCTCTATTTCAATTTTACTTTCATGTTTATAGACTATGTTATAATGTGAAGCAACATCTTGTTCTCGGCAGCCGCCTTGGCGTCAAAAGCAATGAATTAAATATCATGTGATGATTCGTGCTGTAAGATTTGTTAAATTTGGGTAAATATGAATTTAAATTTATTTTGCCCCAGGACATATCATCAGGTGTATATCATATTTATTCCTCAGAATCAACTACTACACAAGATACAACAACGATGTCTACGACGGAACCCACCAACTCATACCCTGCCACAACGACTCGTAAGAAAACTTCATTTACACCACCTCTCCCTCTCTCTCTCTCTCTCTCTCTTTTTCTCTCTCTTGCTCTTTCTCTTTCTCTTTCATCTCTCTCTTTCTTTCTTTCTCGCTCTCTCTCTCTCTCTCTCCCTCTCTATTTTACTTTTACTTTCATGTTTATAGAATATGTTGCAACGTAAAGCAACATCTTGTTCTCGGCAGCCGCCCTAGCGTCAAAAGCTAGAATTTAGATATCATTTGGTGATTTGTCTAGTAAGATTTGTTAAATTTGGGTAAATATGAATTTAAATTTATTTTGCCCCAGGACATATCATCAGGTGTATATCATATTTATTCCTCAGAATCAACTACTACGCAAGACCCCACGAAGATATCTACTACGGAACCCACCACCTCACATCCTTCCAAAACAACTCGTAAGAAAACTTCATTTACACCAATTCTCCCACTCTCTCTCTTTCTCTCTTTCATCTCTCTCTCTCTTTCTCTTTCTCTGTTTCTTTTTTCTCTTCATGTGTCTATTTTCCTCTCTCTCTCTTTCTCTCTCTCTCTCTCTCTCTCTATTTCATTGTTACTTTCATGTTTGTAGAATATGTTACACTGTGAAGCAACATCTTGTTTTCGGCAGCCGCCTTGGCGTCAAAAGCAAGGAATTAAATATCATGTGATGATATGTACAGTAAGATTTGTTAAATTTGGGTAAATATGAATTTAAATTTATTTTGCCCCAGGACATATCATCAGGTTTATATATCATATTTATTTCTCAGAATCAACTACTACACAAGATACCACAACGATGTCTACGACGGAACCCACCACCTCATACCCTGCCACAACGACTCGTAAGAAAACTTCATTTACACCACCTCTCCCTCTCTCTCTCTTTTTTTCTCTCTCATGCTCTTTCTCTTTCTCTCTCATCTCTCTCTTTCTTTCTTTCTCGCTCTCTCTCTCTCTCTCTCTCTCTCTATTTCATTTTTACTTTCATGTTTATAGACTATGTTATAATGTGAAGCAACATTTTGTTCTCGGCAGCCGCCTTGGCGTCAAAAGCAAGGAATTAAATATCATGTGATGATATGTCCAGTAAGATTTGTTAAATTTGGGTAAATATGAATTTAAATTTATTTTGCCCCAGGACATATCATCAGGTGTATATCATATTTATTCCTCAGAATCAACTACTACACAAGCTACAACAACGATGTCTACGACGGAACCCACCACCTCATACCCTGCCACAACGACTCGTAAGAAAACTTCATTTACACCACCTCTCCCTCTCTCTCTCTCTCTGTTTCTCTCTCTTGCTCTTGCTCTTTCTCTTTCTCTTTCATCTCTCTCTTTCTTTCTTTCTCGCTCTCTCTCTCTCTCTCTCTCTCTCTCCCTCTCTATTTTACTTTTACTTTCATGTTCATAGAATATGTTGCAACGTAAAGCAACATCTTGTTCTCGGCAGCCGCCCTAGCGTCAAAAGCTAGAATTTAGATATCATTTGGTGATTTGTCTAGTAAGATTTGTTAAATTTGGGTAAATATGAATTTAAATTTATTTTGCCCCAGGACATATCATCAGGTGTATATCATATTTATTCCTCAGAATCAACTACTACGCAAGACCCCACGAAGATATCTACTACGGAACCCACCACCTCACTTCCTTCCAAAACAACTCGTAAGAAAACTTCGTTTACACCAATTCTCC